TGCTGTCTTTAGTAGGCCACCCAGAGCTTCTTGTTCCCAACCCATCAGCCTAACTTCGCATCAGCAAGGTGGCTTCTCCATACACACACTCAGACAAGCAGCTGCTCCTTCTGCATTAAAGGCTATTTCCCCTCTGTCCTTCACCTCTCCTTATCCCACCTAAGAAAGCAGAAAAAGAAAAAAGATGTGAAGTTTTGATTGCATGATTAAAGATCTAAAGAAGCTTTTGTTATCATGAAAGATGTCGTCATATTAAATTAATCAGCTAAATATTTCTGTGTGACAAGGCAGTGACTTGTTAAACTGACCTTCCTTTGGTCCCCAGTCCCATTGCTTCTTTCTCACTTCTGAGAATGTAGTTTGGAGCTGTCTTTTCATTCACATCTCTCTAATTTGGTCAAGGTGAGCAGGAGCGACCTGCAGACTAGAGACTCACATGACAGGGCTCCCTGGCTCCCATCTGCTCAGTGCAGGGTGGACTGAATTACTAATTTCACAAATGGGTCCCTTTCTAAAGGAATTACTGGAGCTTTTAGCAGAGGCTGCCAGCAGCTGTGGGGCAATTTTCAGCAAATAACACAAGTCCGGTCAGCATTGAGTAGGGCCAGCCCCTCAAATACCACTAAGATTCTACATTACTCCAGTTGGTGTTCAAATTTATGTTCAAGTTTGTATCGGTTGACCACTCCTCCTCTGCCAGGATTTATGCTCAAATTTGGGTTCCTTTCCTTTGTGGTTAAGATGTGAGACAGTGAATGACCAAAGGCACTTGGGGATCTGAATGCATGGCTATGTGGAGCTCTGAAGTGTTTATTATTAATTCATTCTTGATAGTTTTTGTTGTTGTTATTGCTGTTTACATGAATGGTCTTAAAAGTATTTATTTTTGCAGTGGTACCAGAACTGAGATCCCCTTTTGACTGCCACTGACAGCCCCTTCAAATACTTTTAAAACTTACTTTTAAAAATATTTTTGGCAATAGGTATTCCCCCTGCCAATATTGTTCAGCTAAGGCTCCCAAGTTCCCCATTGGCATAACTGTAGCCCAAAAGGACTTTTTGAAAAATTGCCAGAGTGGGTTGTCATGGCATGTGAACCTGCCCATGGTAGGGGTGGGAGGCATTGGATTCCCCTTGGATTCTCCAGCCCAAGGTTGGAGACCACACTCTAACCTTGAAGTGGGGAACTGGAGGTCTGCTCCTTCTCCTCCAAAAAGCCAGCACAGAAAGTGTCACTCCAGCTGCTCCTAAATGTCAGGAAAACTACCCTGGAGAAGAATTAAAGGGGGCATTTCAGGAGGAGAGAAGTAGATTGGAGTGGCCAGATATGAGGTGTCCAGAAGCCGATCTGGTCTCTGCCTCCTTCCCTCTCCATCAGCAGGAGATGGTGCCATCAGCGGACAATCCAAACATCCACTCTGCAAAAATGCCAAGACGATGAGCTTGAACTTCTGATTCCCAAGGCTTTTCTCATCTTGATAACTTTGCACCCTTGTATGTAGGTTACTTGGGAGCATTAGATAAGTAATAACTGGTTGGATACATGCAAAGATTTGCAAAATATCAGGTTGAGCATATACCAAGTTCTTTCAGTCACTGTAGCTTTGAATCTTTTGTGTAAGGGGACGTCCATCTACCCTTCACCTTTTTTGGGTTTCTGCGTTTCCAAAGGTACTTTTTTTCTTTCACAAATATAAATAGCCAAGGGATAACTATTAATTCTAGCAGTATAATGAGGCAAGAAATGTGCCCTTTGCTGGGGAGTGGCAGATTAATGTTTCTGGAAATTGCATCACAGGGTGAGTGCCAGTGAAGTGCCTTTATGCTGCATGCAATGCTGATCATGGTGTTTCTCAAACTGGAGAAACCAGTGGTTCTCAGCTGACATTCAGGGTATTTCAGTGCTACAGACTTTCAGTGCCTCTTTGCTTGACTGTCGTGTGCTCTGACCACATCATGCATACCTCATAGAGATCAAGATGTGTGTGTGTGTGTGCGCGCCTGCATACAAACACACACCTATGGGAATAAAGAGGAGTTGGATAATAAAGCTGTTGCAGGAGGAAGTGAATGTAGAAGCAGCAGGAGGGATGGCATGATTAGGAGTTGGTTATAGGGTACAAGTTAAGTGTGAAAGGAGGAGGAGGAAAGAAATGAAAGGAAGTGGGTAAGAAAAAATTGAGCGGCTTGCAGAAGAAAAATACGCAATGAAGTGATCTCTTTATTTAGAGCAGTGATCCTTTTTGGGCTGGTGGGCAACCTTGGAAGTTTGGTACACCCTCAAAGTGGCTGCATGAAGGGGCTTACTTCTTGAAATTGGGTCATATTGGCAATTTTCCGAGGAGGGCAATATGGGAGCATAAGTAACAAAATGGTGCTTCTCTGGGTGACTGGAGGCTGCTGTGAAACTTGCAGCAGCGAAAAAAGAGGGAGGAATTTTGTGGTAAATCTGCCTCCCCATTTCAAGTGGAAATTTCTTAGTAGACAGCTTTCACGTTAGCCTTCTTTAAAATCAGTGATGCAGATGACACTGACCTGTCATGAGCACAAATAGGTGCCACAGAATTCTCTGTGTCCGATCCAGACTGAGTCACACTTAACAGTAGCCCTATTGAAATCAACAGGACTTCATTTAGTCATAATGTGTCTGTCCCACTGATTTCAATGTGTCTACTTTCAGAATGACTCAGGTCTGGATCTTGCCCTCTGAACTCTATTTCTGAATGAATATGCATGTGATTGGCCTGTTAGTAAAAGCTATCTTTAGGTTAGATTGGGGACTGTGTGAACTCCACCGTGCCCTTTGAGGCTTCTTGGAGCATGACATCAACGTGTGACTGCTCTGCAGCCAAATCTTCAACTTTCATTATGTTTACAGCTTCCTCTTCATATTCCTGTAGACACCTGCCATAAACTGTGTGTGAGGTGTGCGGCCTATGAGGGGACAGCAGTTTAGGGCTGAGTTTTCTCTTTGGGTTTAGGCAAGCCCTACCAGCCTTCTGGCACTCTTGTGAACTAGTCACTGCACTGTGGCAGATGGCAGGGAATGCAGGGCTGTTCCAGCAGCCCCGCTAAAGTAACGTTCCCCTTCTTCCCTTCCCTTCTGTTCCCTTTCCTTTTTGCTTATTGGCCTCTCTTTTTAGATCATCGACCTACAAGCAGTGCTGTCTTGTTTAATACAATTATCTGTTAGCCGCTCTGGGAACCAGTTTGACTGAAGGGTGGTATAAAACACTTGAAATAAGTACATAAATCAACTAATAAGCAATTACTTTATAAGCAAGGACTAGATTAAGGCATTCCAAGGTCCACGCGTTTGGCAATGGCAGGCATAAAAACTCCCAGGAATCCCGCATCAAAGTATTTAAAAAAACATTGCAAACTAAACGCACACTGGTGAATAAAAGCATTTTTTGTGTGTTTGTCTTGATCAAGCAGGAAAAGCATGAGTTGAGGACTCAGATGTTTAGATGCCATTTTCTGACCTGATATTCACTTCTTGCTTTGCAATTGTCTACCTAGCTTCAGTTAATATTCTGGACATGTCTCTTAGAAATTAAATGGAGAATGGCTATTTTCCCCCATCTTCCCATTTGAAAGTCATCTGCTAGAAAATGTTAGTGTGATTGCATATCTCTAAAATTGCCACGCAGTTGTGAACTTATCAGGGTCTACCAACGTAGATGAAGTTAAGGCATGAAATATGAAATATAATGTTCCTGCATCCAAGAGAAGGGGAGCCAACATGTATCACTTTGAATAAACTTTATTTTCTCAAAAGAATGGTTGTGCTGTGAGGGACAAAAGCTGGAGAAACAAAATCTGCATTTTTAACAAGGGATGTTAGGGCAGAGTTTAGGAAGGCTCAGCTGTACAGGTTTTTGACTTGAGTTAGGGCTAGTTTATATAATGTCTTGTAATTTCTTTGGAACTGCCAATAGTCTAGAATACATGAATATGTAGTGCATATTATAACTGTAACCCCTTCATTCTACAAAGAGGTATAGATGAACAATTCCTGAGCCACTTTATTAAAGGCACAGGCAGGAGTATAAGTGTGGAAAAGATTTTGATCTTCCCTTTTCCATGGTACTTTTAAGCCAAGATGGCTTCAATAATTTTCCTTTGAAATATGAAAGATAGGAATGTGCAGTGTGCAGAGAGAGAGGGGTGGGGAGAGAATAATGATCCCAGAGATAATTAATTGTTTATAGGAAATGTTGTATGACAAAATATCTATTTCTGGCAGGGGTATGGACACTCAGGCCTAGGGGCCAAATTCAGCTTCCTCTCGCTTCCAGTTAGCTCATCTAAGAATCCCCAGATAGCCACTCACCCTTCCCCACCCACTCCATTCTCCCAATCTCTGATTGTTTAGTGGTTTCCTGCCATTTGCATGTTTTTTCCCATTCTCAAAGATGAAATGTCTCTTCTAAGATTCAATTACAGGCTAAAAGATGCTGGAGGTTGGAGGGGGGGTTGTAGTTTTGGTCTCATCCCTTCTGCCCCATCCGCCATTGGAATGTCGCCCCTACAACCATCTCTGGAATGGAATTTGGCCCTTGGGTTCCTCTGATACATGGTGAGATTCCAAATTTCCCATAATATGAATCTACTTGTACAGCTTAGGGAACAAAAGCATTCTTTGGGTTGGATCCAGATGGAGCTTATTGCCTTTAAAAGCAGTGTGAAAACTTAGTCTTTACTAGCCAATGTTCCAGAGATTTCAGTTGGACCTAATTGCAATTAATTTGGCTTCAGTGCAATATATTGAAAACAAAAGCAAGTACTTGCTTTATTGTCACAAGATAAGCATGAGAACAAGGTGGAGCAAAAATCACCTGCCCCTTTATGTCTTGCTCAATTCAAACTTTGTCTCTGTTAAACCCTGTAAAAAATAATTGCTGACTATGAGGCTAATATGATGGTTTATTAGGCTTCATTATTTGAGAAGGATCACAGAGAAAGTATATGTCATTCTTAACTTATTTTATTAACAGGAAAAGAAAGTCCTCCAGTAAGTGATGTCCCAGATGATGGTGATGAGCCCATGCCTGTACCAGAAGATCTTTCAACCAGCACTGGAGGACAGCAGAATTCTAGGAATGAGAGAGTTTTGGGTAAGAGAGTAGTTGGCTCTGCTACTGCCTTACACAAGATGCTTCTGAGATACTTGGAAGAAAATTGAAAGCCTGAGATTCTGACAAAAGCATTTTTGTTGTGTTGTTTTTCTATCTTAAATGTAACAGACCCTTTCATTGTTAAAGGAAGTTCCAGCCCATTAACTAGCTATCAAGTACAAGATTCCATCAAAAACATTCCCGTAACATAGTGCACTAAAATGGTTTCAGGACAGAGAATCAGTGCATGCAGCATGTAGTTATAGGCAAAAGGAATAGATGGTGCTACTGTGCAGCATCCTCTCCTCCTTTCCTATCCAAAATCCCAGGGTTGTCCTGGTATATTCTGAGGATGCTTTCATGCAGGGCCCCTGGCACTACCATTTCAAAGATGGAGCTATTCCATCTTTCTTTCCTTAATTTTTTTTTGGTGGCAAGAAAAAGGACGTAAGGGTTAGGAAAACATAGGAGGATTACAAAGAGAAGACAGAGTTATCTGAACCTCTCAAAATCTCTGTGATTGTCAAAGCTATTCCACAGTAAAAGCATTACCACTATCATTATCAACTATTAATTTTATATATTTCCCAGACATGGAAAAACATGATTTTCAACTAGTGGCTTACAAAATTGCAATTGGAGGAAAAGAGGACAGAAGGGGAGTGGGTTGGGGTGTGGGAGAGAGAAGGTAATAAAAAAAATATAAAGTGGAGCTCATATTAGAGGTTGGTTTTAAAGACAGGTTGATTATGATTCTGGAAAGGTCTAAATTCCCATTGTAGCTTGCTTTCTGTACATGTAGCCTACCAAAAAAGAAAAACCTGAATAAGGAGGGCTTCTTATTAGCCATATTAGTTAAAATTCTGGAAGTTTCTCTAGCCATTTGGATTTAAAAGACAGGATGTGATTTAGGCAAAATTCCATTGGTTTGTTGTGGGTGAGGGAAACAAATTTGCTTGCCTCTTGTCCACTGAAGTCAGTGAACATTAAAACACTGAACATTCTGGATCACATAACAAGTAGCACTTACAATAGTTGTCTATTTTCTATATATCTGGTTGTAGCCTTAACATTTTTAATGTAAAAATTGGTCTTCTATGTAAAATAGCTTTAGTAGTCTAATTCTCTAAACAGTTTGTATTTAAATGGTGAGCTCTTTGGCAATGTAGATTTTTGTTAGAGAAAGTGCCTTTCCTTGAGGAAATCCCTCTTATGCCTGCCATTGCCTTGTGCATGGTTTTCCTGGCTGTTGGGTTGTTGAGTGGCTCATTCAGAAAGAAGAAATGACTGAGAAAGTTGGATACTCTTTGTATGATGTGGCCATTTTCATTCTTCATCACAGCATGTGCACATGTGCTTAGCTGTGAGATTGCTCATCCCTGGATTACCCAGCTTTGGCTGACTCTTGGCTGGAGATGGGAATGGGCTCCATCACAGAAAAGCCATTTGTGCTTTAGGTGCTGAGAAAGCACTCTCCGTGGTGCTCAGTCACATGTGTGAGTCAGAGCAGTGTGGATGGATGAATGAGCACGTGTGAACCAGACCATCCCTGGAATCTGGCGGTAGGAACTGAGATGTGCTACCTCAGGCAAAATTTGAAAATGCAGTTGCACACATGTTCAGTCACCACAGCAGCAGGACCACAATGGAAGAGCATTTCCTGCTTTACTGTGTGAGTGTTTGTGCTAATTGACTACTGTGCTCCCTTCCAACTCTGTGTTTCTATTGATTCTAAGATAAGTAGCAATGCAGATAAGGCAAGGGTTTCTTATCATGGCAGCTGCAGCACAGCCATGAGGAAATCTTCTTATATGGCAGATGGATGATGCATCACTGCATGGGCATTTGCTTTTCACCCAAAACAGTCACTGTTTCTTCCTTTCCTCCTTTATTGTCACAGCACTACCAGAGCCAGCTTGCTGTTGCGAAATCAATTTGTGTAATGCAGTCATATTTTGGGTGACTGGGGCCATTCTGTTCTTGAGAATCCTGGTTGGAAAAGTAGCTTCCCGTCAGATTCTACAAATAAAGGTGGCAATACCAGTTGTACAGACTTGACCGTGGATGTTATGAGGTCACTGCAAGCATGAGTCTACCCACTTCAGGCAGCAGGTCTGAGGCTATCATTCAAGGCAGTGTGTCTCTGTACACCAGTTGATGGGGTAACACAGTGGGAGAGTGGTACTGCACACATGCACAACTTATGGGTTTTCACAGGCTGCTGGCTCGTGACTGTGCAAACAGAATGCTGGGCTGAGTCGATCTTCAGCCTGATTCAGCATGTCTCTTCTTCAGTTATTAACTGGTTTGTCTAGACTTCCCCAAAATGGTACCCTCCTGATTTTTGGGACTGCAACTCCTGTCAGCCCTAGCTATCACGGCCAATGGTCAAGGGAGTCATAGTTGAAAACACCTGGAAGGCACCTGCTTAGGAAAGGGTGGGTTAGTTTTCAAACACCAAAAAGGGTGTTGTTTGGTTTCTGGGCCTCAAGTGCCAAATCTACATAGACCATTCCTGATTATCGACTGGGAGGGGGCAGCTGAGAGTACTTCCTGAAAGATCCCTCCGAGAGGCACTCCAACCATAGTTCCTTGCTTTTCCAGAAGGCTTATGACACAAAACTATGATAAAAATTTATCTGCCATATCCATGCAGTCTCATGTAATTTTCTTAACAAAAGAAAAAGGATGAGCAAGTTTAAATAAATAAAATTTGGAAATATCTGCAGGCACTACTGAAAATATTTGCCTCAGGGGTGGATTTTGCCAATGGGCGGTCAGTTTGCTTTCTTTTCCTTTTTTTCTTTGTTGCTGTATTGTTGCAACAAGCAGTTTAAAGTATTTTTGAAGAACTGGTAATCAGCAAATGATTTCTGTGGGGAAAATCAGCAAATATGTTCTCAGTGATGGCAAAGAAATAGTTAAGCAAACTGTTAAATAGTTAAAAGGGAAACAAAAGTTGGATGCATTAACTTGAGACAATCAGAGTTGTACTTTGTGTAGGCAACATCTATCAGCTGGCTTCTAGTTGGTTATATAGTTATATGCAGCCGCCAGTTCACAAATTTCAGCTGCTGGGCACCACCTGTGGGGTTATTGTCTTTATGCCCTGTTTCTTGACTCTCCATAGGTTGACCATTGTGAGACACACCATGCTGAACTAGATAGTTGGTCTGTTCCAGTAGAGTTCTTCTCATGTTCTCAAGAGCTTGCAAATATTAACAGGCCACACCAAATTGTGAAGGCCACACCAAATTATCCCCTGAGAAGAAATTACCCCAAATTACCCCTAACAAGTTATTAGCAGCAACTTGTTGCACAAGGAATGTTCCTGACACTACATCATTACTGGATCCAGAATACAACCACAATTCTCAAATCTCATCCCACAAAATAGACTCACTGACCTCTGTGTGATTACTCCAGTTTAAGGATTCTGGTTTGCAACATCTATAGGAATAGATGTATTATTTTTTTCGTACCAAAACTAACAAAACCTTGTGCCACCATCAAGATTTCTTGATATCTTGGCCATTTCTTCTGGGATAAGCATTTGTGAACTGAAAACAGAAAGTTGGGTTGTGATTGGGTCAAGGTTTAGGATTTCTAGGACCAAATGATTTTCCATGGAAGATAGCTAAGTACTTGCTTAGTTCTCCCAGGGAAATCAGTGAGATTTAAAGATACTTGACTTTGGCTGGACTGGGCTCAGATTTCTCAAATATAAGAAGATTCAGGCAATGTGGTGCCTTTTCTAGGAAATGGTGTGCTATTTGTTGTGTTCCTAGAACACTAAGAATGTGGAAAGGTACCATGATTGGTGAGATACCATAGCATTGACCTGATGGTTAAACAGTACTTCTGTTTTGTTGGAAACAGATCAGCTCTGTTGACTAGGTCTGATGTAGCAAGAGATCGTTACGTTGTCATCTCCATTTGGTTCTCCGTCATGTTCTGTCTTATGAGCCAAGAGCCTTTTAGGAGCCTTATAATTGTATATTTTAAGCCATGAATAATGGCTTTTACCCCACTTCTGGGTGTCGGGGGAGTATAAAAAGAACACAAAAGGCAGAGCTGTCAAAGGGAAAGAAAGAAGAAGTGTTCTACCCCACACTGAGACATACAGTTCCTCTGCTGTCTTAACAAAAGTGATGAAGCGCCAGAACTTTGAACCAGCTCATTGGGATTGGTTTCTTAAAGCTTACCTGCATGTTCCCAAAAATCTCTGGTGGAGTCCTAGCTCTGTACTGCTTGAAACTGCTGGCGGGACTGATGCTGCATAAGTGATGCTTCCCCCTGTCAGATGCTCCCCCACAGCCCAGCTTTCTCTCTGATGTGCTAGTTTTGTGTGCGTGTGCACACGTGCACACATGCTGGAAGTTCTTTATGTGGGATATACACTAACTCCTGTGGAGTGGAATACTTGTATTCTGAAATACTATAAACCAAGGAGTGTCTTTTCCTGTCGTTTCTGTGGACACACAGACCTGCCTTAAATCTTTGTGTGTACTTTGTTCTAGCTATGTTCTTGTTGGAAGGAAGGAAGGAAGGAAGCACTTGAGAATGAAAAGAGTGTCGGGATGCTTGTATTTCTTTCAAATTGCAAGATTGCACCAAGTACCCCATAAGTGATGAGAATTTATATCATTGTGATATTTGTATTTATCTATACAGCCTGTATATATACAGGGACTTTGCACCATACTTAAGGGAGATAGCCTCAAATAAGATAAGTGAGAAGAGACAGTTGACAGATGCCTACTCCTTGAGTGCTTCTAGGAGGGCTCCCCACACTGGCATCCAGGCAGCACTGTGTGTCATCTTTTTTGTTTTCCTTAATGGGTTTTCTGCATTAAGGAAAAAGACAGAAGAAGCAGTGCAAAAACACAGCCGCATCATATGTTCAGACAACCTCTGAACCTCCTGTAAATTTCTATCCAGGAGGCAAGGCAATGGCATCATAAAAGCTTCATCTGAAAGTGATCCTTGTTGCATTGGGT